CCAGTCTGTATCATTCTGTGCCATTCTAGGTCATTCTGTATCATTGTGTGCCATTGTGTATCATTGTGTGTCACTCTGTGCCATTCTGTGTCATTCTGTGCAGTTTTGTGTCATTCTGTGCCATTCTGTATCATTGTGTGCCATTCTGTGCCACTCTGTACCATTCTGTGTCATTCTGTGCCATTCTGTGTCATTCTGTGTCCTTCTGTGTCATTCTGTGTCCTTCTGTGTCATTCTGTATCATTCTGTATCATTCTGTGCCACTCTGTGCCAATCTGTATCATTCTGTGCCACTCTGTATCATTCTGTGTCATTCCGTGTCATTCTGTGCCACTCTGTATCATTGTGTGCCACTCTGTGCCATTCTGTATCATTGTGTGCCACTCTGTGCCATTCTGTATCATTGTGTGCCACTCTGTGCCATTCTGTATCATTGTGTGCCACTCTGTGCCATTCTGTATCATTGTGTGCCACTCTGTGCCATTCTGTATCATTGTGTGCCACTCTGTGCCACTCTGTATCATTCTGTGCCACTTTGTATCATTCTGTGTCATTCTGTGTCATTATGTTTCATTTTTTACCATTTTATATAATTTTGTACCATTCTCCATCATTTAGTAGAATGCTGCAGTATTTCACATCATTTTCAACCATTCATGTCAGTTACCTTCATGCCTGGCTGTTCATTGAAGACTCTAAACATGGCAATTTCAGCCGCTATGGTCTTGCCTGAGCCAGTTGGAGCTCCAAGAAGGACATTTTGGTTTGTGTGATACAGAGTATGGAATATCTGGGTCTGGAAAAATGAAGGACAGCAGCATCAAAATAATGAAACAAAATCAAAATGCTCAGAGAAAACCAGAGCCACAAGTAAAACCAGAAACAAACTTGCTGTGATGATAAAGTGTAGCTTACCTGAATAGGGTTGAAGTGGGTAAAACTGTAAAGGGTCTCGTATTCTGGCCTGCCTAGCGCAGTGATGGGCAACGGTATTAGATCAAGAAGAGCTGGAATTCAAGACGGAAATTGAAAAAATTACAATTATTTTCAAATTCAACTTGACTTGTTCTCACAGTAAGCCTCCTGTGCAGAATTTGACCTACGCATGTTCATCAAAAACTGTGTTCATGTCCTGAACTACAATTCAAGGCAGGGTTAGGGTAAGGGTTAGAGGTGTGCTCTAGGTCCGTAAACCCAATCTTCAGCTCAGCAAGACGCCGAGTCGTAGTCTGATTTTTAGTCTTCATCTTACATGTGTGAGGCGGGTGTCTCTCTGGCAGGATGAGATGCTGGAAGGAGATGGGAAAGATGGTCTCGGATCCCAGCCAGCGATCCGACATGGCCTTGATGTAATACTGGCTGGGCAAAGGCTCAAAGATTGGGATGGTGAACACTAGACCTTGAGGCTCTCGGGACAAAACCTGGGTAGTGGAGAAACCAACGGGAAGCCATCCAATGTAAAGTTTCCTGAAAACTAATTAGCATGGGGTTGAGTTTGACTGTCGAGTACATGTACAGATTTCGCTGTCATAACGATGTATGTTCACAGTACTGCGCTCAGTCTTGTCCAACAGTTTGCTAAAACATGCACAAGCCTTATTCGGGTGGAACTTCAGAGCAAAATATGTATCCTTCGTAAGTGATACTAAACTTCTGTTTCCAAGTTTAGGCACCGGCGGCGGAATGATTTTTGAAGTGGGGAGTATGTAACAATGGTGGTAAACATATATGAGAAAATGTCAGCCATTTTGAGAGACACCTGTTTCTTATGGAGAAGGAAGTACTCCGAGTGGTAGATGTGATTGTTGTCAGGGTCCTCCACCCAGATCCACCAGGACTCTGAGGCCGTGCCGTGGACACGGTCACTCCACCGGAAGGCCGGGGTGATGGTCAGTCGGACACGCAGGATGGTGCGTGTGATTGGCTGAATGGTGGCCTCAAGCTCAATGCAAGGCAGCTGGTTGACGCATTGCTTGACCTTGTCGCCCATGGCCACATGATGGATGAGGTGACCTTTCAGAAAAAACAGAAGGAAGACAAGAACAAAATTTGGATGAAATTTTTTTTAATTGTAATCAGGGTACATGAAAATTGCTCTTGGCCGATGCGAGTGTGATACATGTCACGACTGCAGCTTTGAATTTCCTGACAAAGCCACAAAAATAGGTCAGTAAATCTCTCACCAATCTCGGAGGCACGCATCTCCCGCAGCTTGTCGATGGTCAGCTTGCGGTTCTCGAGCTTGCGTTGAACCTCTTGAGACAGCTGAGGGAACTGACGCAGGGGACTCTCAAAGGACCAGAGGCGGCGGTCCACCATCTTGGACAGGGTCAAGAGCTGAGAGGCCATCAGGGGCCAGCCCTTGCGCAGCGTGATCTCAAAGAGGGCTCGAATGATGCGGGCTGAATTCTGTTCCGGTGTTGTACAAAAGCTGGATGAGTTTCACATCATGTTAACACTATGTTTTTGCCTTTCACTAATGTGGTGTTATTGACACTGCATGCACGCTCAAAGTTTTCCAAGATCATTGAACTTTGACCATATGACCTCTGACAATGCTTGAATATAATTTAAATACTCAGATACACACAAACAGGCTGTGTTCCACATCAAGATATATTTAACAGCAAAAGCCAATTACAAACACATCGGGGATACTGACCGCTATGAAAAATTGGACTTCAGTCTGCAACAGATCTCTGCAGAGTCACAATGTGGCTAAGGCTGTGTCTCCCTCAACTTGCTGATGATGCTACAGGTAAACACAGTTTCTCTGGAAAGTGGTAAGCAGCCTGTAGCCAGTGGCTTCCATAAATGCCCGCGTTATTTTCAGCCTTAGCCACAACTTTTGACACAGGGCTATCTTCATATGTTCTTGCAACTGGCTAAATGGCCCTGCACTGCGAGCCATGTCTTACCTGGGCCACGTAGGCCAGATCCGACACTAGGGAGAAGCTATCCACAAATCCTCGCGAGATGTAGGTCTGCAGGAGGATGTTGACCTTACCGTGGGCGTTCTCAACCCCTCCCACTGCGGGCATACAGCAACTCCCATCTGAATGGTGGGATTCCAGCTCCTTGATTTCATCCTCACGAACCTGAGATCAGCCGTTTGACAACCAGAGATGATACATGAATTCTTACAAACAATCTCAGATGTGTCCACTTCAAGTGGGAGACTGCTGACTTAGAGCTAGCCAGGACAGTGATGGTTTGAAGTTCCTTTTAGGTCAATTTTTTTCCAAACAAAGTGAAGTAACAGTGACATTGGACAGTTTCCCCAGATATTTTGTTTGTGTCTGTAAATACGTTTGAAAGTTTAGCCTGTTTCTTAATGGCTCTGCACATGAACCATTGAAGGCGCACTTCAGGTTCATCACCAAATGTGACCCGCTCCGTAGAAGTGAGGCATAACATTGAATTGAATTTGACAGACTAAACCAAGCTTTCTGTGGATGTATCACTCATTTCGGCATCCTGATCAAAATGGATATTGTGAGGTTGAAAAGCGTTCAGCACTTCAGTTGATTTCCAGAGCGTAAGATTCAGTAAAAGGCTTGCAATTTAAAATTGGTGACTTACAAGCCATTATTCGCAGAGCACGGCACAAATGTGAGCAGGGGGATTGGGCTTATCGGGCTAGAGAAAAAAAGTGTTCCATTCAAGATTATTCCTCATCCAAGCATGAAAGAAATCTGTCTAGGAAGAAAAATTCATGGAAGCTGACCTTAATCTGTTGGAATTCCTGTGCCTGAGAGACCATGCTGAAGACGCCTGATTCCGTCATCAGCGGTTTCAGGTGTTGATTGAAGGTCTCGATGGTGGCGTACTTGATGTAGAAATGGCTGGCAATGCGGCCCAGGTCTGTAGAGTGGAAGTCACCCGCAGCCTGGTCGAAACGGATCATTTGGGCCTTGTCCAGTGCCCGGCCGGCCTTGACAATAAGCTCCTTGCGGTAGATCTCAAGACTAGGGTCATTCTGATGGCAGAAAATATTTGATTCAAAAATCAGCAAATGGGTTTAATCATACACGCCTTACAACATCATAACAAACCGTTTGTTCCTGGCTCCCTGTCATATATTGCCATATGTAGACTATGGGTTACCAGTGAAGTGACACTCTCAGTAGGTTAGCCCTGGATAGCCAACTACGCCAGTCCATCCCTCGTCAACTAGTACGTTTCTCTAAGTGAAATAAACTACCATAATTCTTTATCAAATATTCTCAGCATGACAGCACAGTCAGTGTACAGGTAGATTTGTTTAGTTATTGATGAGCTGTGCAGGACATTACAGTACATAGGATCTCACCCTGTCCCAGAATTTCAATCAAAATAATGTGCAATAAGATTGGCTGAAAGAGGGTATTTAAAATTTTCTTCAATGCGATCCCTTTTTTAAGCATGTGTTTATCTTTCAACAAATTCTGAACGTATCAAGTTATTAAATGGGTCTAGTTTGTTCAGTCTGTTAGTCCAATATCGATGGTATCTGGTTTCCATGGTAACTCCAACCTCCTTGCTCTTGTAGTTGATGCCATAGGCTAGTGGGTTCAGATGCATCCTGACATAGAGGTAGGTGTAGCTCAGCCATCGCACGGCCTCCTCCACATTGCTGACGGTGCCGAGAGCAATCTGGAAACCAAACAAGAAGTCAATGCCAGTCGATCCTTTCTGCTCTAACGATCTAAAAAAATAATCACAAATTCCCGAGAGATACGGGGAACATGCAAGGTTGAAATGTGAGCTGAATCCTGTAAATTACTTTGTATTTACAGGTATTTGAAAATGTAAATGCAAAATGATCAATTGCCATCCCCAACTTTTAACATCGATGGCTTTGCATGATTAGCACACTTATGGAAGTAACATTTCAAAAACTTCTCCAAAAACGCCATCAACAGCAGCAACAGCAACAGCAAAGGTACTTCTGGTTAATGCTTTACTGAGATCAGCACTTAAACTAACTTCTTTCAGATAAGTTGCAGCGGACTTGGCATTAATCTCAAAATCTTTATTTCGGCATTGATATCATTCCAAAGAGTACACCTTAATAGTGGAAGGCAATATCCTTCAGGTCCCATATCCCCTCTCCTATTCTCCCCCCCACCCCAACAAAATTGCGGGAAGCCTCGGTATTTATCATACTCACCTCCGCGTTGAGATTGTCCTCCAGGCTCTCAATGAACTGGCTCTCAATGGGGTTCTGTCTGGTCATCAGCGACAGGTAGTGGGTCAGCTTGTCATGGCTGGTGATAATGATGCCCTCCCCGTGGTCATCATACTGCGGCCGGCCGGCCCGGCCGAAGATCTGCATGACGTCCAGGATGCCTAGGTCCCGGAACGCACCCTTGTTGGCATCATACAGTTGGGTGCCCTGCTCATATGACATAAAACAGTGTGAGAGTGGTGCTAGGAGGGTGGTACCAGTCTAACTGTCACCGCTACTTCAGGTATTATATCAAATTTTTGCTTATTTGCAATATCTTATTCTTTTAATAAAGTGTAAAAATGTAGAAAAACCTGCAAAGTTTGAACCTTAAAAATTGGAAGGGGTAGAAAATTCCTGAAATCTGGGAAATCCGGAGAAATCACACAATGGTTTGATTCTTGCATTTTTGCTATTTATTAGGGGCCAAACTCCCTGGAAGCTTCCCCAACGCCACTTTAAATCTGTTTGCAATGCCCCCTGCACCTCATACCTTGATAATGACGGCATGAGCCGGCAGGTTGACACCCCAGGCTAGTGTAGCCGTGCACACCAGCACCCTGATGTGACCCTCTCGGAAGCACCTCTCCACCAGGGTACGGTCCTGCCTCAGCATGCCAGCATGATGGATGGAGAAGCCGTCAGGGAACAGCTCTCTCAGCTGCTTGTTGCGAGATTTGGAAACCTGGAGGAAGTGAGATCACGAAAAAGAAACCAAAAAATGGTAAAAATGACTGAGGCCAAAAGAGTAGTATGTTAAACTCTTGAGGTAAGCAAAAAATTGAGTGATAGGATGACAGGAAAGGTATTTGCTTGGAGAGGCAAAAACTGCAAAATTTCAACACATGATATAATGGATAAAGAAAACAACAGTAAAAGGGGTGTAAATATATGCAGAATTCTGGAAGCTGGAGGTAACAGATTCAAAAATTTTCTTTTGAAGACACGCACTTACTTGACGCAAAGCCACAGAATAACGTTTTGTTCCCCAAAAATAAAAGTTCCAGACCAGGTTTAACAATAGGGTGCTCTGTACCTAGTCCAGTTTTTACTCAAAGTACATTTTTATCACAACAAGTTGTAAGCTACCTTTCTCAACGGTTTACAGAATGGCTCTTTCTGCACCAACCTGCTTTTCGGCACTTCCAAAAGCCGAAGTCTGGTCCGGCCGGAACATCAGACTGTCTCCCTGTGCCTTGGCGATGTCGCGGAGTGACTGCGCTGTGGTGACGGTGGCATTGCGAGCGTGTACAAACACCATGACCTTGCAAAATTTAATGAAAAATTGCATGTGCTCTTAACGTACTGTGCAAAAGTTTTTTCAGGGTTTACAAATATAATAGCTTAGATTAAATGAGTCCACAGCATTTGACTTTTTGACTTCATTGATTCACTATTGACTCATACACTTAGCCATTCAAAATTGCCATTCATGCATCACAGCATCTAGGTTGGGTCTGAGTCAAACAGACCTAAAAAGTAAAAATTAAATCAGGCTAGGAATGTGCTGCAAAAATGTATCAAAATCTTGTCGCAGACAGCACGCATTAAATGACGGATGTGAAAGTGATTCATTAACAACTGTGAGATGCAACTCCTTGATAGCTGCTATGGAAATGTTTACTTTCCTGTCCATGTACATGACAAAAGGCAAGCTCCCCTAAACAAAACATTTCCTTTTAACGTAGGTCGGAACTCGCAGAAATTGTGTGGGAGAATCTCCAGAAGTCATCCTCTGAGTAGCACAAATATAGGCAGGATGAGAGAGATCAGCTCATACGTAAAAAGCACCTGTTAGGGAGTGCCTTCAGTTCCTTATCACTGTAGAAATCAAGCCAGCATCTTTGATGGTTTCCAATGTGGAGGAAGTCACCACATCACACCAGCAGTCAACAGCAAGCCAAAAGAACAACATGGGAGTCAGACAATGACCTTTTTTGTGCATTTATTTATTTATTTAACCATCTTTAAAGAGGGTAGCCCAGGGGTGCTTGGACTGTCCTCCTGCAAGGAATGTGGAATCTATTGAGTCTTCTTTGGCTACATCAGTATACCTGAAATCAACGAGGCATACCTCACCTTGATGACTGTTTCTCAAGGGCTATTTCTTGCAGACTACTCTCAAGTTTAGCATCCCTCAAGGTGGGGTTTAGAGGTGAAAAAAAACACACCGGAGTCAGCGGAAAACAGAAAGGGGAACAACAGGAAAAGAAATAAAGACATTCTGGTCTGTCTTGGACTTTATTTTGTGTGAAGTGAGCTGTGATAAACTGGAGACAAACAGATAGACTAGTGTGTATCAAGACGTGATTGTATGTAAGTGCCATGCCTTGAGTAAAATCGCAATCAATGGCTCGATCGTTTTTTTTTTTCAAGGGTTGTGAAAATTTCCGGCTACGTTAATACCCTGCTTTTAATTTAAAATGAAGACAAGTTCATATCTTTGACACAGGGCATTGTCAACAGGGTGCTTTCTTTTGGAAATACTGTAGATTCTGGCTGCATGTCAAGTCCTGGATCTAATTAATATGAAGGAGAGAATTGGCACTGATTGATCTGTTTAGATCTAATAAAGAAATTTTGGCAGTCGAATCTGAGTCCAACAATAATATAGAGCAGAAAATTACATCAGGCAAATTGACGTGCTCGGGTAAAGTGAGCAAAAAGCTCATTAAAAATGACATACATTAATTGACAGATGGGAAACTAATCCACCAACCGAGAGATGGCGCTTAAACAAACTTCACTGTCTCATCAAAGCGTCGTGTAATTTCCTGAGTTGAAATCTGGCACGCTCCACTTGATGAAGCTTTTCTTCTTCTGTTTTAACGTGGACTGGGACTCAGAAATTGCAAGGGAGAATATCCGTTGCCACAATCTCCTAAAAAGGATGCAGCGAGTAGTGAGCATTACATCTACGCTGAGAGAGAGGCTTGCAAAGACAAACAAGACTCCAGAGGGAGCTGTCAGACTACATTATCTCACTGTGGAAATTGAGCCAATAGCTTTAACAATTGTGGCGTGAAAGAAAAAACTAAGAATCACGACACGCTTAACCCAAAGAGCAGAGAGCAGTCAGTAACAAACTAAAAACCTAGAATATGGAAAATGAGGTTCTCTCATGCGAGTGCACTGTGATTGTTAGTTACAATTTACAATTAACGACTGAATTTGAGTATATGAACATAGTACAGCATTCAAGCACCTGTCAAAAAACAGAAAAGAAAACTGGACAAGATGTTTTCACCAGGAGTTTGAACTTTGCCGCTGTGACTGAACTCTACAAGTATGACTACTGCAGACAGGCCTGAATTCATCAGTGAGGAGGAGTCAGCTCTCAGGGGGCACCATCCATTCCTGATTTTTACCCTGATTCTCCAGGCTCTGACCATCGTCTTGTTGGCGGTCTTGAATCTCTTGGGCCTTCTTGTGCTTCGTCGTGCCAGCAGGGCGCAAGAAACCAACTACACATACCTGGCCTCACTGACTGTTTCAGATCTCTTTGTAGGGATTCTGAATGGCACGATGAACCTGACGCAGACTGCTGCTCACGGGTGGGTGCTGGGGGATTTTGCATGTGCGTATCTTTCGGGAATCGCGGCACCCACGTTTTACATGATGAGCATCTGCTCGTTACTTCTCTTGACTGTCGACCGCTTCATCGCAATCGTCTGTCCGCTGCGATATCGCAGTCTGATGACACTGCAAAGGTCAAGGGTCATTGTGACCTCTGCCTGGATAACCTTTTGTGTTGTGAACGTAATTTTGTTTGGAATATGCTCAACGTCAGCAATTTCAGAGCAGACTGGTCTCTGTGAATATGACGTGCCCCACATTTTCGAGTATGTGACAGCTTTCACTGTTACGGTCACACTCCCGCTGATCTTGGTGCTATACTTGTACATTCTTCGAGTTGCTCGGCACCATGCCCGACGTATCGCTGCCCACAATCAAATCGGAAACGTTCAGGAGGGGCGGAGCCCCCAGCAGCCAATCAGCACCAAGTCTGCTACAACGGTGTTCATCATCACCACTACCCTGTGTCTCTGCTGGATGCCAGGTCTCGTGTTACACCTGCTCAGACTGATTGGGGTTCAACCGGGGTCTGGAATCACGACCATCGTGTACACCATCTTCTTAAGCAACGGGTGGCTCAACGTTGTTATCTATTACTGGCGGAACAGGGAGCTTCGTCAAGTGTTCCACAACCTCCTGCATTCTAGCTGTGGCTGAAATCTTGGACTAATTAACTAATGTAATTTGATTGGTCAACAGCTGTCACATGCAAATATTCTAAACTCTGCCATCACTATTGCTTACAAACAGTTAGATGATAGTTAAAAAATTTGTAACAAATGAAACATTTGTTTACTGATCTCACTTGTAATTCATTCAGAATCTTAAAGAAAACAATTACTAATGTAACTGAACACAGTGAAATTGGCTCAGTCAAGATGAATTTTCTAAGAAGTGTGGATAATGTTATTTTTATAAAGGGTGGGGGGGGGGCAAATTACATGTACAATGGGACAACCCACCTGGTGACCTTCGATGATCATCGCTCGAGCTTTCTCATAGCATACATAGTCCATGTCTTGTCTTTGCTGGAAGACGTTCGTGGCCTTGATGCCAATGAACGTCTGGCCCAAGGGCACAGGGCGGAACCGTCCATCAAAAAAGAAGAGGCCTACATAGGGGTTGACGTTCAGGAAACGTGACACGTCGATGTAGTTGGGTAAGGTGGCAGACAGGCCAACGATACGGATCATGCTTTGTGAAGACTCGACCTTGGGCAAAACGATCAAAACGGATATCTGGATCAGCAAATTCTCATGCAAAGTTAAAACTGGCAGGGTACCAGTCACAAGCAACACACACATCAGAAATTTTCAGATGGTAGACAGTTTTCACTGAGCTAACTAAATTTCTAAGCTAACCAGCCCTATGACCGTGGCCCCTAGGCTGTTGAGAGGCCTAACATATTTAACCCTGAAATGCCAACAGCTTTGACCGCTCCACAGAACTCAAGTCAATTTTGAAGTTAGCAATCTGCAACTCATAACCAGACCCCTCCTTCCATACCTGTCTCAGTGTCCGAGCCACCAGGCTTTCAATGACAGCGCCTCTGTCCTCATGAAGCAGGTGCACCTCGTCAATAATCAGAAGCTTCACCAGCTGCGTCAGGGCAATGTCTCCAGTGCTCTTCCTGGTCACCACGTCCCACTTCTCTGGTGTCGATACAAGCATCTAGAGGGGTTTGCCAATGACGATATCAAGAAAAATGAAAGCCTCAAATTGAGGTCAGAGAATACAGAAGGCAAGTCAGCTTAACTCCCGCAAGAGGTCGCACGGCAAACTTGATCAAACTATTTGCTGTTGAATGCATTGTCATGGCAACATTTCAAATACTCAGCACAATGTTAATAAAATTCCAAGATTTAAATCTAACAATAGGAAACTGCATCGTGGCAGGTTATTAGCACACTAGCAAGAGTCTCTATGGTAAATCAGTTTTGCAGAATAAAAAGCAAAAATAAGCACTAAAAAGGTGGGTTTCCTTACGCAGATATGCAAATTTTTCTTTCGTTGCAATTTATAAACAAACATACAAATATGCTCTGCAACAGAATTTGTGTGCCAGTCACTACAGCGATGTGCTGGTGACTTTGAGTTGAGGTCATAGTTACGGACTGCGACTTGACCGATTACCTGTGTTTTGGCAATCTCTGACTTTGTGAGCTGCATGTCGCCTGTCAGCTCCTTCACAGCGATACCAAGGGGGGCCAGCCGACCCCCAAAGTTCCTGACCATTTCTGCTGCCAGGGCTTTCATTGGGGCTACGTAGATGATCTGACCAAGCAACAAGCAAAACAAAAAACCAGTCAGAGAGGATAAATTTCAATCATCCTGGATAGAAGATTCACTGGAATAACACTGACGTTGAAACCAACTGATATTTTCTGTCACTTGACAACACAATTCCAAATAGGAAGACTGTAACTTATGAAGACAAAAAATGTGAATTAGACTTTCAAGACAAATCCTCAGCAAGGTCTTTCTTCAGAAATCACTCAGTTTTTCCGTAACTACGAACTAAAAAATTAGGCGTTTTTCTTGTACCGATGACATATAAAAGCAAAGGATGCAAGACTCTCAAACAAGGTCTGTCTGCCCGTCTGGAGCTGTAAGCCGGGTCTGGTTCCCCACCTTAAACTCATCCTTCTTGATGACTCCCTGGTCGAGGTGCTGCTTTAGTTCATGCAAGATAGTCAGCATGGCTATGTTGGTCTTTCCTGCCCCGGTGGGCGCACAAATCAAGAGGTTGTCGTTGCTGTGGTAGGCCGTGTCAAAGACCACGGACTGGATGCGGTTGAGACGGTGCGTCTCACGGAAGGCGGTCTGACCAATCTTGGATGATGACAAAGACAGAAGTCAGTGTAAGGATGGAGGAAAGTCCAACAGGGCAAGCTCCAATCACACACATGGTCAGTGGAACACCTTGGACAAACCCATTGAAATGCATTTTTGTCAGTGAGCTACGGGCACCTAGATACACGATCAGCAAGAAACTTGCAGGACACTGCATCACCCCCCACCACCCCGCATCATCCTGCATCACCCCGCATCATCCTGCATCACCCCGCATCATCCTGCATCACTCCGCATCACCCAGCATCACTCCGCATCACTCTGCATCACCCAGCATTAACCCGCATCATCCTGCATCACCCCGCATCATCCTGCATCACCCCGCATCACCCCTACCATCTCTTCCCTTTCACATGGTCTTGATTTCAGAGGCAACTGCACCCTTCCAATGTTATTCATGTCTTTTGGTGGAGGGCATTCTACAATATTTATCCTGAACACAAAACTGGAGACTACAGTTCTCGACCACCATTTAAACTAGAGCGCTGTTTGACACCGGCAGACTGCTACGAACTCACTTCGTCCAGGTCTGAGATGGCCACGCGGTGCTGTCCCACAGAGGTTGGGGCAGCTTGGGACGGTGGTATTGTCACTTCCTCATACATCTTGATGTTCTTCCGCTCAAATCCTTCGGGTAACATCACCTTTATTTGAGGCATAAAAGAGACGTATCTATTGGTTGATTCACAAACAGTTTGGGGACTTGCAAGGGAAGGTTTTAAAGACCGAAACTCAAATAATGACAACATTACTGCTAAACTGTACAAAAGGCAGTCAAGGTTGTAAGATAAAAACTTGTTCACAAAAGCTTCTTTGACTTTATGCATTTTTAGAGTTTTGGGAAAAAAGGACTGACAGAAACACAACATCAAACTGTATTTTTGTAAGCTTTGCTATTTAGTTTGACCACAAATAGTCCAGTACATCAGAATATTTGACAAATAAAAAGGAGTAAGTCCCATCCAAAACTCTGCAGGCCTTGATCAAAGTTTCCAGAAAAGGCCAAACATTGCAACATTGGTCACAATTGTTGTCATCGCTTTTGAGAATAAAAATTACTCGGCTGTATTTGTCTCTGTGTGGTTTGTTTGTCCATCTGGGTAGATTCTAATGTGAGAACATACCTTCGCTGCTCCTGCAAATGCTGACGTTTTCTGGGCTTCGGCCAGGGCGTCATATACATTGGGATAGGCAGCCTTTGGGGCACCCGACGTCCGCTTGGTTAGTATAGGCGCCACGCTGGCGTTCATTAATGCACGCTCCCTGAGATTTCAAAACAAAAATTGTCGACTAATTGGACTATCAACCTGTTTGCAGAACTTTAATTAAAGTTACAGGATTCTTAGTTGAGACCCTAGCTAGCCATCAATAATTAGTAAGCTAGCTTGCTTTTTAAGTATGCTCATCTTGTAGATTGCCTTGCTTGATTTCAGTTTGCTATTTGTTTCAATATTTTTTACCACAAATAGTCCTGGACAACGCTTTGAAAAAGATTTCACTTCCAACATTCACCTCTGCATCCTGAGGTACTGTGGGTCAAAGAAAGGTTCATTGCTGATCCCCTCCCCTGGGGCACTGTTTCCCCTAGCCTCCTGTCTGGCTAGTCTCTTCTCTTCCTTCCTTAGCTGTTTGTTCAGCTCCTTCTCTTGCTCTGACTGGAAACGTGAAAAAAAAGAGAAAACGAAACTGCAATATTCCCGGCAGTCCGTGAATTTTTTTCCAGATGGTAGAAAGTTCGGATAATTGTTCGTTGTACTGTTATCATTTTGTTGAAAAGAGAAAAACATGATAGAAGAAACAAAACAACAAATTTGGTCAGGTGTTTCGTTTTATTAATTTTATTGGCCACCGACAGTACTAAATGTGTCAAAATCTAGCACCAAATTTTGCAGCATTTAGTAAGGCGAAGCTGCAAAAACAGTTTTCAGAATGATTTGGATATTTCCCCATTACCTGAATGATCACCTGACTTCCGTAAACATTCCTGGCCTGACGTTCTTTCTTGCCCTCTGAAAAGAAATCAGAAAAACAAGATGATTAACACTATACACTTTTTGAAATGATTTCTGTCATGGAATTGGTCAGTTGAGACATGCATTTGACTATGGACTGTCAGAAGGTTCATTACCTGCGATTATCTGTGACATTTGGTTGCGGCTGGCTGCTTGCACTAGTTGTGAACGGTTCGTCAGTAGTCTTTCAATCAGCTCAAAACAATCAAACCCCAACAAGTCAAACAACTGCAAAATTAGGAGGAAAAAAAAGTTGCCTCATTTTAATCTGTGCGTAACATGTTCCAATCAGCTGCTTGGAGTAAATATTTTGCTTGGCATAAAAACAGGTTACGGACCAAAATGTCATGCAATTTACATTCAGTTATTCATTGACTCGTTCTTTGATAGTTTTCTCTCCGAAACATTTTAGGAAAGCTCTGTGTATTTGTCGAGTATTATTTTCTAAGCAGCTTGATGAAACAAGCTCAAGGCTAGACATTGACAAAAATATAATATATAACAAGTGCTCTGAATTATGTGATCACCAAGCATTCGGTAACTGAGTACCTTCTTCAGGGCAAGTTGTGAAATGAATTTGCTTGCCTGAAAAAGTACTCAGTTACCGAACACTCTGCAATCACATCTGTCAGAGCACTGGTTATATATTATATTCTTGTCAATATTCTGATCACGGTGCTACGCAGCCCTTTCATAGGTCAAGGCTAGACATGCCAGGTAGCAAAATGAGCACATGAGCTGGCGGTTTGCAGCCTCAGAAATGTCTGGATTTCTCACTGACCTCATTCTGAAGTTCATCATTGCTCTTTCCTGACGTCAGATCGCCGAGAAGCTTTGCAACCAGCGAGTCGATGCTCATCCCCAATGGGGTGCCACCCCGCCCAAACTGGTCCTCGATCTGCTTCCTCAGCCATCCCAGATTCATGGACTTCTTGTTGGCATTGGTTTCTTGATGCTTGCCACTCGGACGGGCTGCTACAGCAGCACTGTAACCAAATTTCAGGATCGGTTCTTCTGTTTCCTCTTCCGATTCCGAACTGTCCAACAATGAAAAAATCTATGTTTGAATAGTGAAAGTACAAAGCAGCCTTAAACAGAAATGTGATCAAACGCTGCATTATAGACAGACAGAAAGACCAAATGCACTAAGATACTGTCATTATTGAGGATGAGGATTTGTATAGAGAACCTTCAGCTACACTGGGCTCAATTTCATGGCTCAATTTCTAACCTGTCGTCTCCCACATCCAAGTTCCTTGGGGTGAAGGAGAATGAGATCTTTTGTCCAAATTCCTCCATCTCAGACTCTTCCCCTGCCATCAACCTGTCCAGGTCCTCCCCCGCACCCAGGGGAAGCAGGCCCACCAGAGAACAGATGGCCTTGTGGGCCCGGACTCCTGTGGTGGATGGGAAGGGGCCGATGGCCGCATGGAGCTCGGCGGTTCGGCGGTGGGTCAGCTCCTCGCCGTCCTTGAGCTTGGTGAAGAGAAGGACGGCAGTGGACTCGACGAGGGCCATAGGGGCATCGCTTCCGACTTTCGGGAGGAGGGAGGATAAAGTGAAGATGAGGAGAGAAAGGAAACAGGATAAGGATTTCAACAATGCAATAAGGCGATAGTGGAATAACTCTGTGGGGCGACGCTTGCTCGATCTGTCTTCTCTGCTGTTGCCTGTTCCAATTCCAGCTTAACAAACTATTCATTGGGCCATCTGTACCTGCTTGTTGAAGAAAACTTCTCTCAATTTCTCTAGGGTTGTCCATCCTACATTTCACTTTCTGTAGTCTCCTACACAATCAGTCACGACGCTGTAACTTGAGGTTTCTGGCTTGATCCAGAGGTTAAAAAAAGAATATAGTTTTATTGGAGTTGATCCACAAAATGATGGGTAAACAGGCAGGTGGGTAGACATGATCAGAACCCTAACCCTACCCACACCTGTAGCCCAAAGCTCACCCATTTCTCGTGTGACATGAATCAACTCGTGGAGTTTGCTGGATACTTCAGCCTTGTGATGGCCACAGTGTGTTTGGATCTGGAAATGAGACAGTACAAACATTGTATCTGAGGTCGAGTAAATGAGTCAAAACATAATCAGGCTTTGTGGCTTGCAAATTGCTTTGAAATGTCTCCATTTCAAAAGTGAGTTTCTGCGACCCACATTTGAAGTCTTGATTCAAATGCTCAATCAACTATCTTGTTTTGGGTATTGTTTGCATTTTTATGGACTGCTACCTCATGACTTAGCTTGGTCCACGTCAGGCCTTGCCTGGCCTGTCGCTCTGACCTCAGGGACTGCTTCTTCTGCAAGCTGACATTGCCAAGGCTTGAGCTGTCTGTAACCTCTGCTGTCACATCCGAGAAGGCACGAATTGAGCCTGTTAGCCTTGGAAGAGACATATCTTCCAATCTGCAAATTGGAAATTTATCAAAGGGTGTCAAAATGTCATTTCATCACCTTGGCCCTTTAATTAAGTTTTATTCAAATTTAAAATAGTTTATAGGCCTAACCTTTTCCACAATTTTACTTAAGCATCTTTTTTGGTGAGGCCTAACTTTCCTACACAGCCTAGATTATTTTAGAAGTTAAAATAATGGAATAAGTAAAATTTATTTTTTGTTGAAAACACAAAAGTGTTAAAAGAATCTTAAATGAATATACACAATAGCCATACTGTATCACAGATTTTATCAAAAACTCTTTGTGAGTGTGGGAGGGGGCAGCTTTTTGCTCCACCCCCATTGGAGGTTACATACACCAGTGGCAGAGATGGAACATGATCAAGCCAGAGGCTAACTTTTTTCATTTTTTAATTTGAATACCTACTACTAAGCCTCAGCCCAAGAGGAGTCAAATGTATGTACAGACTTCAATAGTTGCTGTTACACATGCCGTAACAATTTCAAGTTCATTGTCGCTGACGGGGAATCCCGAATAGAAGAAACTACACTCCCTTGCGACGTGTTGTGAAATGGAAATGTTAAACCAGCAGAAAAATTGATTGAGCGCCCTCTACTGTTTCATGACCGCAACAGGTTTTCAGGAAGGACAGTCTGGTAACCAAGTACTATTGTCAGTATAGAAGCGTGAAAGACGTCGAGAAATTCATCGATTTGTGGAAATTCTCGAAATGTGACAATTCAATAAACGTTCATACGGGTTAACACAGTTTTGTTGCACTGCAGTGGTATAGTCGTCCAGTAAAGATTATCGAATGTACACTTAAAATAGCATATACGCAAGGGTGTGTCTGTTGTTGGTTTCCAACAGAAATGTCTTCAAAATCATCCCGAAATCGGAGGCACGACAGCGACAGCGATGACGAGGGGAGAAAACATCATCATCACCGGCATCACCACCATGACCACGGGCACCGTGACCGCCACGGTTCGCGGTCTCGGAGTCGGAGTCCCAGGTATCGAACAGAAAAGAAAGTAAGTCTGAACAGAAAAGAATGCAAAGTATGAATGCCTTTTTGCATCATTAATAATATGTGATGATCCTTGTTAGTTGGGTGAAAATAAAAATTGTAAGTGACTGGGAGAAAAATGCTAACTTGTTTTGTTGTTTAGTTATAAAAAAATATATTGGCCCACTCCCATTTCAAGAGAAATTTTCATGAATCCCGTCCAAGTTGGAAAGAGTCAAAATAATTCCATCTTCATGCCCATATTCGAGTTGATGGAAACCAATTTTAGAGATGATTTTTTTGGGGGGGGTATTGTTTTCTTTGGATTTGTGGCTTTGTTATTTTTTAAAATATATTTTGTTAATATCGTTTGTTAAATTGTTAGCATGTAGGAAGTGTATTGAATTTGAAAGGAATTTTCTGACAGCTTGCATTTTTGATAAAAATATCTTTTTCTATTTTGTTATTTAGGAAAAGCATGGTCGGGGTCATGATAAACATAACCATTCCAGAGATAAGGACCTCAAACCACGGAAGCACAAAGATACCTATCATGAGGATAACAGAAAGCCTGACAGACATCAAAAAGACAGACTTGAGAAGGAGACTACAGAAAAGAAGAGAGATCATGAGAGGGCTGTGGAACGACGAACTGAGGGTAAAAATGGGGAGAAACATCAAATGAGTACTCTGAGGGGTAAGTGGGACGATGACCCTGGTGTGGAAATCAACAGCCCTGGGGAAAGGACTGGGAGTAGGGAAAACAATAAGAGCCAGCAGGCAGCGGGACAAATGAGAATAAAACAAGAGCGTGAGTGGAATGACAATCGCAGGACTCAAGATGCCAAACGAAAACCTCCCAATCCATTCGAGACTGGCTCAGATGGGGCTGGCCCCTCAGAAGAAGGAGGCCCCCCACCCGAGAAAGAAAAACCAAACTTTGCCACATCCGGCAAACTCACTGAGGACACAAACACTTACCGCGGCATCGTCATCAAGTACAATGAACCACCAGAGGCCAGAAAGCCCAAACGAAAGTGGAGGCTGTACGTCTTCAAGGGAGACCAGGAGCTTCCTCTTCTGCACATACACAGACAGAGTGCCTACCTGCTAGGGAGGGAGCGACTGATCGCTGACGTGCCCATTGATCACCCGTCCTGCTCCAAGCAGCATGCGGTGCTCCAATACCGCCTCGTCCAATACGAACGTCCAGACGGCACCATGGGCAAACGAGTCCGGCCTTACATCATTGACCTCGAGTCATCCAATGGAACGTACATCAACAACAACAGGATTGAGCCAAAGCGATACTATGAACTCCACGAAAAGGACGTTATCAAGTTTGGGTACAGCACAAGAGAGTATGTACTGCTCCACGACAAGTCCAAAGATGATGACCCCGATGGTGATGTAGAGGAGGACTAGATGGACTCTCAAACTTCAAAATGTGATTCTGAGGCTGGGCTCTAACTTTTAAATGCTCCAAAATGGGAAGAAGCAGGTTAAAGATATTAACCATAGCGTACCATTCTGTAATTCAACAAGAAGTACATTAACCATGGGTCTGAAGTTAAGACAGGCCACAGGGGTCATGGTCTCCATTAGCCTAGTATGTGCCTCAATGCACCCCTGATATCCCTCCCATAAACAGTTGAATTTACTCTTTCCGGATGAAAAAAAATCCAGCATACCCGTCAAGAAAAATTTCCAATGAGCAAAGCTGACATCCAAACTCACAAGTGTACATTTATCCACATCACTTTGAATGGCTTAGTGTAATACCCAGATGAAAACCACGACAAATTTCTGTTCTAACTTGATGTTGATTTACTGTGATGTGGGGGAAAGGAATAATGGATTTTGTAAATGAGAAAGATCAGTCTTGAAAAAAAGTAACAGTACTTGAAAAGTGAATATGTTTTGCATTCAGCAGATTTTGCCTAATTCCATAAAATAGAAGTGTTTATTTTTAAGGTGCACAACCTGATGTGAAGACCTTGGTTGTGGAGATACAATGATTGTGATCTGTTTGCTATCACAGCATTGCCGGTGACCAAGCTTTTTCATACTTGTGTTTTCAACTGAATTCAGTCTATAATTTAATTTATGCCAAGGCACAAATGGATATGTGGACAAGCGAATGTCTGTTGCCAGGCACAAATTGAACGCTGCTTTTAAATCAAGCATGGAGATAAACTCAAATTTTTGAATTTGTAAATAATTAAGAGGGCCAATTTCAAAGAGCTGTTAAGCACAAAATTTGCTTAAGCACAAAAAACCTTGCTTAAAAAAACAGATTACCAGCTTAAAATCTATGTGATTGTCATGTTAACCAAAAGACAGGTGAATACCATTCCAAACCAATATTTATCACATGGATTTTGGCTGGTACCTGATGTGTCAAGTAAGGTTTTTTCATGCTTACACAAATTTTGTGCTCTATGAAATTGGCCCGGGCTCAGCACAAAGTAGTGTAACTTTTTTAAAGAGGAAAGAATATTTGGTGTGCCTTGGTGAAGGTGGAATTGTCTTAAATTGTCTTGAAATATCTTGTTTTTGAGTGGACAATAAAGTTGGAGTTGAAGGTTTCATTAAAAATGTTGGATTCCAATAAAAAAGGAAATTTAAATTTGTTTTGAGTTTGGCCACCAAAGGAGTCTTGAATGACAGTTTGGTTTTTTATTATCCAAGTAACTAATCATACCTAGGCCTATGAGCAACTATTTCAGTGTTCCGTCAAAGGACAATTACGGGTCCAGTCCACTAATTCAAGCCCCATTGAAAACGGTGTAAAATCAGTACCGTTCAGGGCCTAATAACATGCACGCCAACATCCCTGAGATTTCTGAAACACAAATGAAATTCTTGTCTGATCACCAATCTTTCAATTTCTTTTCAATTTTCTGTGGGTTAACCAATTAGTTTTAATTATTCCCACAAAACAAAATCACCCCCAAAAAGTGATTTTTCCGAAGTCTGATTGCAGCCATTTTTCAAGTGGCAACCCTCAACTTTATCAGCCTTTCTGCCCTCATATGAAAGCCCAAATTCCCCAGGGAGTTGGTCCTGGCAAAGATTTACACAATCTCACCATTTTGGGGGCCAAACAATCTCCTTTTTCAAAAGATACTGTGGGGGCACTTTTAATGATCATGAGCTGGTCAAAAATTTTCACTTGAATTAGTGGTCTGCACCCTTATTGATGTTTGAGCAACGCCCTCTGTTGACTTGAAACCGTGACTTTTGTCATCGGGAGGGACGTCCAAGTTTACCCTGGCCCTGACTGGAAAAAACAAAAAATTTCTTCAGTGCCAAAAGCAAAGCCATACAACTTCCTATTATTCTTAAATTTCAATTAAAGAAGTATCATGTGTAATCTACAGATAATGGTATTTCTGCTTCGACTTTTCGAAGTATTTGTTTTTATCTCTATCGATACAAATTCATAAAACCCCTATTTAGTAATTTATTATTTAGTAATTGACAAGAGCATGTGATCCAAAATGGCGGCCTCCTTATTCTCAGAATGTGAGGAAAAACCGAAGTCAAAAATAGCTGTTACTGTGGACGACATTTGTCCTGGACTCGACGGGAGCATATGTATTAGCGGAGAAGGAAAGAGACATCAGATCTGTGCTATCCAGAATGGTACCAAGTTCGTGTACATCTATGAAAATGCGACGAGAAAGGTAGGCCTGCATGCATTAAGTTCCGTCATGTGTCTGTGACATTGCCATTACTTGAGCTCGTGTTGTGTCGCTTGTCAAGTGTGTTTACTGTTGTGTTGGGTTGAGTACATCCAATAACTATGCTAATAGAAGCTCAAATATTTGGCCTGTTTTTAGTTTACACACGTACCATCATGGCCATGCCTTTACAACTAGGTACCAGGCCCTTCGACAAATCTAAGGGCATTACAGCATATCTTTCCATGCATACGTTTGTCTGTTTTTGTTTTCAGAATACATCGAAAAATATCATAATAAGGGAAACAGTTCCATACCTGTACATCGCTTGGCACTGTGCACAAACTCTGTAAGACTGGTCTGAAAATTTCAAAAGTATTTTCCAAGAAAATACTTCAATATTTCCACTGCTAAATTCGACTTTGTGTGACACGTTTCACTTTCTGTTGGTTACTAAACCACTGCAAGGGAAATTCAGTGATGACCTTGTATGGAACTCTTACCGAGATCAGAGCATTACAAAGTTTGTGTGATGAAGATTTCTCTTTTGTGCAATGTTTTGTAGGGAATTCTCCAGCTGCCAGACCAGTGCCATTGTACATGTATGTGTTTGTCCAAGGATACGGCAGGAGATGAACATCTTATGTGTGGGATGCAGAACGGTCAAATCATCCACTACAACTTACAGGCTTTCAAAGATGACACCAAATCGAAGAAGAAGAGGAAAAAGAAAGAGTGAGATTCTTTTCCAGACAAATATTCTAAGAAAGGTGTTAGGGGTTCTAAAAGTCTGAGAAAATTGCAAGATAATTGTGATGTTGTACATTATTAGGCATTGTAATTTTGGAAGATTACATTTTAATTGTTTAAATTTTAATCGTCATAAAACAATAATTATTTTATTGTTTACTTGTATGATATAAACTAAAATGACCCCGATAACAAGGCAAGAAATAAATTGTGTTTTATGATATGTTTGGTCTATTTTAATCTCAGCAAACACAGGAGCAAAAACAAGCCCGAGACCGTTACTCTGCATCACCAAGAAAGTCAGGAAGATATATTTGGTAATCTCTTGGAACCAACTGATGCAAAGCCGTCAAGTTCTCACGGCCCTCCTCCTATAATTGCTGAGGAAGATGGATTGTCCGAGAACGTGGTCATCTTAGGGGATTCTCATATACTCCTGAATGAGCCCAGTGTCCAAGATTTGATTCTTGTCAAAGGTTGCCTTGTCACTTGTGCAAAATGCGCAGCTGGGTGGACAAAATCTGTGTACTGTCAGAAGGTCAGAGGTCAGCCCGAAATGGGTAACACGACATCTGAGCATACAGTTGGCAAACGAGAACTGGAGTTTGAGAGATCAGCGTCATTTAGGACTTTCCTACCTGAGAATAAAACAAGATCATCCAGTCACCATGGAGACAGGTCTGTTGACCAATCAGGAGCCTCACCTTGCCTTAGAGAGCCAATAGGTTCTGAGGCAGAGCACTGGAGCAAGAAGCCACAGTTATTCTGTGTAGTATCGCTAAGCATGTGCAAAAATGAGGATGTAACCAAGGATACATGTAGGGGGAGAACATTGGTTCTGGAAGACAGTTTGTACAACCAACTTTTTGGCTCAGACTTCAATTTTCTAGACACTCCAATAATTCTTATTTCCCTTCCAGATGGCCACATATACTACTCCCCTCTCAAAACCCATGGAATCACCCAAGTGGGGAATTCAAAACAAGGCAGAATTGGATCAGACTGGTCTAGTCTAAATACAGGATTGTTCTTTGCTCTGGACGAACCAGCTGCCACCATTCATGGTTATAACACAAAATTCTTGTTAGAGGCAGACCGGGAGAATCTGAATGCCAAAACTACACAGCACGGCTGTGATTGCGTATGCATCGTGGGGCAACATGGGAGAGTCATCCAAATCACAGAGAACATCACTTCTAATCAGAGGGAGACACTGAAATTCACTGAGAATCATGTCAAAGGTCCCGTGCAAACTGTTTGCAGGACCAGAACACCACAAACACTGCTGTATTCAACCGGTAAAGAAATGTACTCTCTCTCTTTCTCGGAAGCTTCGAAGAAGGATGCATCAACTGCAGCTCGCAGGAGCAACGTCTCAAGTTCCTATGTCCTGGGAATTGGAAAGATTAGAGCTATGGTTGTGCTTGGCAGAGCTAGCAAAGATTCAAGTTGTAAGTAAACTAACTAGTTACCACTAGTTGTAACCAAACTAACCAGTTATCACTTCTATCTTTCTGGGCCTAAAGTTCCCCAGGTTAGGCCACAATTTTCTCCTGCCCACAGACACCTTCCTTGCCCTTATTGCCCCTCATGAAATGTTATACTTGACATTTTCACTTGACTAACTACCCTTTCCTCAGCTATTTCATCTCTGCATTAATATCTGGGTTATATTTTTGCCAGGTAGCAACCCTGTCATGGCTCTAACTGAGGGTGGCAGAGTTCTCAAGCTCCACCCGTCAACAGATCGTTCCCGTGACAACAGAGGTTCACCGATCACTGCTTCTGCAGCTGGCAAGAGAATGCAGGAACTACTCCAAGCTATCAACAACATCTCGGAGAGGTCGGGCGATCTGGCCAAGCTGAGCCAAGCACAAGATCGAGTCCTTCGTGAAATGAGCCAAGCCTGTCATGTGGCCAGCTTGTTGCTAAGCAACCATAATTGTGCTCAAAATTCCACCATATTTGGCATGGAGATACATTGCACATTTAAAAATGATGGTCCTCTTTGCAGTTTGGAGCTCTTGTGTCAGCTGACCAACCACAACAAGTGGAGCCTGTCACACGGTTGGTCCCTTGCAGTCTTCCTAAACGCTGAATCCGATTGGACAAACCTCGAGTTGGACCTCAGGCATCATGTGACAAAGATCGTGCCATTGGTGAACTTCCAACCAAACCAAACCATTGACTTTATTTACCCCTTGGAAAACAGGAAGACCTCTCTTTTACTGCCTTTGGATGTGCAATGCTTTCTTTATTTTTCTCCGGAGGAGTGCTTATCCTCGATCTTGCCAGAGCAGACAAACTTGGAGACAGAAACTCCCATCAAAATGGACGAAGGTGGGATTTTACTGCCACTGACTGGACCGACTGTGATAGATTTAATCACAGTTCTGAGACCACAGTTCAGCCAACAAAATGCAGCTCAACACACTAGGCAATACCAAACAGCATGGAACAGAGGGTTTGATTGGCTGGCTTCAGCGTTAGAGACAGCAGCAAGCAACAGACCCTCGGCCAATGGGACAGGCTATACCAACTCAGAAAAGACTGGTGACTCGACATCAGCATCTACGTGTGTGACCATCAATGCTGATGTGACTGCAATGATTCTGCAGCACAAAAAGAATGGTAATATTTTCACTGTAGTTTGAAATTCAGTTTCAATTTTCATACACCAATCAATAAACACGCTGCAGTCCTTGTGATAAGTTTGCATACACTTGTATGGCAGTGTATGTTATAGAATGGTACGTCTGTGAATACAGCATTCAGTGGGTGCCTGGAAAAAACTTGATCAGGTGTGCAAACAGAAAAACTACAATAGAAGATAAATCATTTTCAAGTGTACACTTTTTTGCAACTGGCTGTCCATTTTGCCTTGATCTTTTTTTCAAGCAACACATTATTGCTGCCGAAAAATTCAAGGAGGCAAAGTACTTGAAATTATTATTTTCCTTATCAGACGTTTTATGATTTGATCAAATTCTGCTCTTGCAGAGTGTAGTCAAGAGGAGCAGATCCTAAGGTGGCTTCTGGAGGACAACAGGCTTGTTGCACCATCGACAAATCCACTCTTTCTGCTAACACCAGATGCCAGGGTCGTGACCTTCCAGGTCAAAGTTCAACCTGCCAGGAGAGAAGGCACTGGAGCAATGAAAGATGCTTGCAAGGAATCGGGACGAAGAGAGGAGGCAGTAGAGATCATGATCACGGCACCAGACTACCCAGTGCTGACCCACTTGCAGCTTGCTATGAACAGAAGAATTAAGGTCTGGTACGAGATGTTCTCTAACAAAACAAACCAACCAAAATCCCAAGATGGTCCAAAATAAACTACTAATGATCAAATCATCCTTCCTTTTTCTTCCCCTTTGCCAAGTAAAAGAATGCTCTGTTCTCATTTTTCTCTCATGTCCTTAAGTTTTCTAGGCTAAACACACACCCACTTGCTTGTCATATCTTTTCTTTCCACATTTCTGTGTGCACAGACGCTTGTGCAAAGAGCTGGCAGAGCTGGTGGTATCACCACTTCTCAAGACACACTGCAGAAGGAGCTTCGAAAAGTTGAGGTATTACCTTGCAATCTCTTTCTTCTGACTTCAGTCAGAAACAGTCATAGTGTATCTTCTCGTAAAAATACTTTCATAACCCTCATCCATCTACCTCTGGCTCTTATTTAATGAGGCCATTGACACCTATTTTTCTAGATCCTGTGATAATCTTTTTCCTGCATCATCAAACATCAGGCAAAGATGGGGAATTTTAACAGTCTTTGAACAGTTAAGGTTAAATGTTTTGGTGTCTAAATCCTGAAGTCCATCTAAATCCTGCACAAAGCATGTCTTATTCTATCGAGATTTTACAAATTTTTCCAGGCTCTTCACAGGAAGGTTGTGTCCCTCCAAGATAACATGATACTGCACTCTTGCTGTGACAACCAGTGCAATCATAGTCCAGACAGCACAGCCATACTTGAACTCCATCAACGGATGAGGAGTCAATTGACCTTCCTGTAAGGTCCGAGTTTAAAGGTCTCATGCAGCTGATAGATGTGTTCTCCAACTTGCCAAAGTTTGTAACTTTTAAAAGTGTTTTTTTGGGGTGTCAGTACTTAACACTTTTGCAGTCAATGCAACATATTTGTAGAATAGAATGTCTGCCATGTTTTTCTCAATCAATCGGGCATTGCTTTATTGTGGACACATCTAGGAATGCAGTCACCATACATATTATTGTAAAATTTCGTTCAGAAAAACGACAACGGTCTGTTTATTCCATAACCTGCACCCTACTCCGGTTAAAAGGGGCCCTCCTAACGAGCATTCATCTATATTGGAATTATAAGGTAGAGAATGTAGCTGTTCCTAACTCCAAAATACACAACAGTAAACACAAAGTCATCTGTGCCTTGTTTTAATTTTCATTCCGTGGATAAGACTAGATGTACAGGATAGGCAGTTTGTTGGCACATTATATACACAGGCCTGTCGGGGACAGCGGAAATGTATTAATTCATGATTAAAGCAGTGGCATTTTCATGACTAGTTTGTGTCAGCTAAGTGCTATAGGCTCCAAGACCAAATGGTTCTGAAGAAACAACTTTTCTTAGCTTTTGTACACAGCGGTAGTCATTATTTACTGTTCTATTTTGATACATAAAGATTTTCATAAGCTGTTAGGTTTTTATGAGTACAAGAGATTGTATTTGAAATTCACTTTGAATTGAAACTTGGTTGAAATTAAGTACTCTGGTATACAAAAGAACATTGAATGAACAAACTTTCTGCAAAAACACGGGATCTGATAAAAAAAAAAGTGTGTGTAATTCAGATTACACATGCATAAAGAAGAAAAAACTAAACGGTGCGTAACACTGTGGTTTGCAAGAAAGCAATACAACTGATTTGATACAAGATCGAGTTGAATTTCTACTTGCCCCCCCCCCTGAGTTTTAGAATCCCCAGACACCAAGCTATTTACAACTGGGATAGTTAAACACGTTATTATGAATTACATAAATGTTGCCAAATATTTGATTGCTGACCAAGATCACTTTGCCAAATTGCTGCGTAAGCATTCCTTGCCCCTGATGTCCCGCGTGCACCCAGCATCGTGCCTATACACCCCCGGTGCGTCCTATGAACATTACAACAGATTTTTTTTTTTAGTACACGACCTATAGTACATAACCTTTCCCTCGGATGTGCGTAGCACTTACACATCTGATATTCAAACCCACTATAGTGCAAAGAATATTTCAACAGTTTTTTTCTGTTGTTTTGAAGTCCATTCACAAGACAGGAGGGAAAAAAGAGACAGCATCTACACCAATTTTCTTGACGATACAATTTTATCCTACGTGAGTTTTCTACATCAACACTCTTCCCAATTTCT